AATCATTACATGCCGCCTTACTGCTGTATTCAACCGATGCATATTGTAACAAGGCTAATGGGTTAAAGCACAGCCTTTACATACTCTACAAGAAGGCTGGATATTTGTCAAACGCTGCGGCTCCAACACAGAAAAAAACCACAACATTTTATGCAAAAAATCGTAACATACCTGCAGAGCGTGATCATGAAACCTAAAAGTAGCTGGTTTATTTGCAAAATTCAGCATTCAACATCCTCTGTCCTCCTCAAAACCACGAGCCTCTACCCGCTGCAAGACTTCAGTTTAGCTGCTGACCTCTGACCTCGGACAGAGGAGGGATAATTGCTGAATGGAAGCCATTACAGCGGCCCTCTGTTGAAGCCTAAATGATCTGATTGCTCACTTTTCTCTCAAGACCACAGCAATTTTCCTCCAGCTCGAACAAACAAGTCAGATATTTCTTTCTACTCCTGTATTCCTTGTCAACTCCGTCGCCCTGGGGTCATTTTAATCCTGTCCAGATTGACACGTAGTGTTTCATGCAATTTTCAACTTGCACACCTAGGATCTGTATTACAAGGGCCATAAAAACCAGAGGCGGGCGGGCTGGATGGATTAGATTAGATGATTGACGATCCCTGTGGGGAAATTAGATTTGTGCAGCTGGAGAAGTGATAGGATCCAGCAGGGGAAGAGGACAAACAGAATCAAAACTCACAGAAAGAATTGAAAATGAGCAATGAGGGTGAGATTTTAACAGTTTTGCTGCATTGCACTGTTTGTAGAGGCTTGCCAGTTCTGTGGGTGTCGGTGTGTGTTACATTCATGTGGGTGAGTCCCACCGCCAGATGACTCAGATTACGGATATGCTTGAGCAACGTTGAATTTCCCATCTTACCTGGTACTAATGCCGTCCAGAGAGAGCTGGTGAATCCATCTCCTTGCACCCACTACATGTGAATCAGCTCTCTTCAAGCTCTTTTGGTTATACAACGTCTGAAAATCCTCCGTTTATCCTATTTTCACAGATACCTCGGTAAAGACGATGTGGCCGAGGCCTCCCTGAGCAAGGCCCAGCAGGAGGGGGGCAGCGTCCGATTGGTCACCAAGGAAGCCTTCTTCACCAAGAGGAAGTCATTGGCATCAGAGAAACCACCTGCTTCAGAGAGGTAGGTGAAGGGTGGATGTCCTCAGGTCTTAACAAGTCTTAAAGAGGCCTAAAATGCTCATTTTCAGGTTCATATCAGTATGTAGTGTCTCTACTTTAAAGAGTCCTCTCCTGCTGATGTTCAGGTGTATATCAGTATGTAGTGTCTCTACTTTAAAGAGTCCTCTCCTGCTGATGTTCAGGTGTATATCAGTATGTAGTGTCTCTACTTTAAAGAGTCCTCTCCTGCTGATGTTCAGGTGTATATCAGTATGTAGTGTCTCTACTTTAAAGAGTCCTCTCCTGCTGATGTTCAGGTGTATATCAGTATGTAGTGTCTCTACTTTAAAGAGTCCTCTCCTGCTGATGTTCAGGTGTATATCAGTATCTAGTGTCTCTACTTTAAAGAGTCCTCTCCTGCTGATGTTCAGGTGTATATCAGTATGTAGTGTCTCTACTTTAAAGAGTCCTCTCCTGCTGATGTTCAGGTGTATATCAGTATGTAGTGTCTCTACTTTAAAGAGTCCTCTCCTGATGATGTTCAGGTGTATATCAGTATGTAGTGTCTCTACTTTAAAGAGTCCTCTCCTGCTGATGTTCAGGTGTATATCAGTATGTAGTGTCTCTTCTGTCTCAATGCTTTAATGTTCAAAAAGCTCTTTATTTTTCTTTACATTACATATTCTAAAACGACTGAAGGCTATTCCTATATGCTGTTATTGATTAATTAATTACAAGTGCAAAATCCTCACATACATCAACATGTAATCTCGTGTTTGTGTTTTCTCACGTCGATGCCTCTACATGTAGATGATGCCCTTCATCTTTTCTGTATTTTCATTTTCCTCTCCTTAGCTGTCTCCATGGAGATCTGTGTGTGCCTTGCGGGAGGGAAGCACAAAGGCCTCTCATTGCATGTTAGTACAGTAAATATAGACCATAATACAATCTACTCAGTGAGAAACAAGCAGCTCACCCCAGGCGGGAATATCACTATGGAAACCTGCCCCAAACTCACACTCTTTTTCACATGTACACCGTAATGTCTTTGATATACCATGAAGTGCACATGTAGGTCTTATTATAGGTCTTATTATACATGTGTTTTTAGCAGAAGAATACATACATGTATATTTTTTAAAGGCTAACATTGATGTCTAACAACACAGAAACATAAATTGTATATGTTGTATAGCATACGACTATTTCTCTAAATGCTTGTCCAGTTAACGTGCGAAGAGAGTTGATTTTCATACATTATATTTTGATTAAATTCCCCGTTCAAACTGAGGATGAGTTTCATTTGAAGGGTGATGATGATATCAAATATGACGGCAGACGATCAAAGCTTCTTCGTAAAACTCCTATAGAGGACTTCATAGTAAAAAAAGGCATATTTTAAAACGAGAAATTTTTCCATTTCATCTGCTGCGGTGGGCTCCCTGTCCACAGGAAGACACACATTAAATTGTATAAAACACAATCTTCCTCTCCACTGATTGACAGCGCTCTTCTCTCTTGCCTTTGGTTTCGTACGAAGCGTAAGAGACGAGCTTGACGGTAAACACTCTCTGGCATGTTGCGTGATTTCTGGGGTCATACACCTCACTCTGCCATGTAGAGCTGTCAACTGCCTTTGTGCATACATGCATTTTAATTACTTTGAAGCTCAATGTAAAGGACATATCATAAGTGACAACCCTCTAATATGCATACTCCTTGCTAATGCATTCATTAGTAGCACACCGTGTATTTCTGGGTTACACTTCTTCTCTAAAGTACCGTGTTTCCACCGTTCTCAGTGTGGGCACATCAGTTAAAAAAGTCTATTTCCGTCTCCCCTTCATCTGCTAGATGTTGCTGGCACAGCATTGTCTCTTGGTACTTCCAATTTTTGGTATCTTCTCAACTTTGAAGCGGCAAGGTTCCTCTTTGTGAGGGTGTTTTTTTCTTCTCCATTTCAATGATTAAATCTCACTCTGTAGTGCTGTGTGTCTCTGGCTCTTTGTTCCTCTCTCTGTCAGTCTGCATTGTAAACCATGGGGAAAGAGAATTTGGTCCATCTGTCCTCTCCAATGTGGCTCGAGCACCCTGCTGGGACAACATGGCAGACGCCCAAACCCGCTGTCCTCTGCCAAAAGGACAGACACACACACACTTGAAATGTTCTGCAGATGCATCACCATCATGTATATATGCACACAGTATGGAGACACTTCCCACACACCAGCCATATGTCCAACAACTCTGCAGCTGCAGCACAAAAAGCAAGCAGATATTATTTTTAAATTGCATGAATGCGTTCTGAATTGTGTTTACTGCTTTTCTAATGTTGAAAGAACTGAGCTCTGTATTGAATCTGGATGTCGGCGTGCAGGCGGATGTGTATCGCACGGGTCAAGGTAACTTCCCTTTGAAGTGAAGTGTGCAAAGGGCGGAAATCTGCAGCAGCCAAGCCGCCTCAATCAGACAGATATGAAGAATAGATTGCACGGACTGAATCCATTTATAAATCCTCTTTGTGGGCCTAAAGAATATTCCTAAAAACCCAATTTCCTGTAAATACATTTGAGTATTTACGAGCCTTCTCCTGAATTCACATTAAATCATACATACAGTCCTGTTAGGATTTGCATATCTTAACATATTTAATGCTTAAGTATTAGCATTTATACTGGACTGAGCTATCATGGATTGTATTTTTTTCCATATAAGAAACTTTGTCTACATTTTGTGACGGCCCCTAGGCCTTCGACTCAAGTCCCTGGTTAGCCACTCTCCCAATCAGGAGAGATGGCTGACACCTGATTTTGCTTGACTGCTCAGCTACAAGTATGGGTGCCTGAGCAGTCAGTGAACGTTTCTCAATGTCGAGTATACCTGCTGCAGAGCCACTGTTTCAAGCATACTACGTCATCGAGTGGCGCCGAAGGACTGTTTAAATGCCCAGCATACATGTGCTACCAAGCAAGCCTCCTCGACATTGAGAAACGGCCACTCTCTCTCCTCTTGGGTTGCAATTAAAATATACTTTAATTGGATATGAAGGATGTTTGGTCTCCTTCTGTTGTCTGTCCTTGAGTATATTTTTGTCAGAATTTACTTCTCACGTTACATTTTCCAATAAATAGTTGTTTTTCTCTGAATGCAAACTTGACACCTTGTCCTTTTTCGCACACTTTAAATGGTAGCAGATCAGATAAACAAGTATGATATCCAGATTGAAACCAACTAACTAATGATTTGTATCCGTTTTAAAGCATCAGTGTCTGTTTTTACATTTCTTGTGTCCTGTAGATGTCTTGCATGTATTTTGGAGGATTTTATGGATGTATCACGGTTGGAATAAAGTGGGATAATGAAGTCAATCTTGAATCTTACATTTGAAACTTCTTGACACCAAATACATTTTTATCCACTCGCCGTTTTCTTCTTTGAGTTCATCCTCCAAGCACCCACCTTATGAAGCATTTACTCCTGAGTCTCTGTCATACATTTCTTGAATCTTATATTTTGAACGTATACATTTCTTCCTCTCTGCAGCCCGGTCAGCGAGTCCTGTGAACAATGTGGGATAATTGAGTTAAATCAGTCTTGAATGATACATTTTAAACTAATACATTCTGGACACTTTCTCCACTCGCCCAAATTGTGGCATATCAAATAAATAAGTATGTTATCATTTATGCTATTTAATCATCAGTGTAAGTTTTACCCATGTCTTTTATGTATTTTGGATATTTTTACGGAAGTTGCACGGTTAGAAAATCCAAATATCCTTCAACGTGGGCTTGTAATTTTTTTTAAAGCTTACTTTTTAACTTACTGACATTCTGGATTATATTTATTTCCACACCACATTAATTTCTATTCTTGACACACTGAGTATAACTTTCTTCCTCTGTGTGTCTCTGCAGCGCAGTCAGTGAGTCCTGTGAGACGATGGAGGATCAGCCGCCCTCAGAGTCAGGTTTCCTGCAGGCTGTGGACAGTGACGGCGTCCCTCTGTGTCTCTCCTGCCAGCAGCACTGCTCCACCACCGGGGGGGCCTGGGACACCCGCTTCTGCAGCCACAAGTACAGTAACACTCAACACATGCAGTTTAGAAACAAGACTAACCTTTGTGTGTTGTCTTCCTGTGAACTGTGCACTTTCTGTCATCTCGGTTTTACGTTTGTATAAGGCATATCATTTCATCTTTGACCAAATTAGTGTTTCCCCTTCTTATGGAACTGTTAGAAAAATCTCACTCGTCCCCGGCTTGAGCTTCAATCTCAGGATCCATGTATTTGTGATCCTCTCAAGAATGGAAGTAGTCCTCACATACAGAGCATCAATGCTTGTCATATGTCTATCTCCATAGAGGCTGAATCATCATGTTAATCACATAGCTATCATATGCCTCAAACAGTCCTGATGCTCTTCTAGGTAATCATACATCCTGTCATGCACACAGCTACAGTTGGGATACCCTTTGTTATCATGTGTACTCTGATATTGGAAGAGGACATTCAGGATTTTCCCAACAGGAACCATCCATGTTATTTGTGTGGCAGGTTAAATAACCTCTTATCCCGACACATAAGAAACCAGAGGACATCAGGAGGATTAAGATAATTATAGTGTGCATGTATTTGTAAATAGTTGCACAAAAACAGTTTGCTTATAAGTCTTTACTTGGAGCACCAGATGGGAGGGTTTCCTGCAAAAAGTAAAATGAATGCCCTCATTAGGGATCAATCAAAAAGCATATTAAATTAACTTTTAAATTGTTTGCCATTGCTTTAACTTCCCAGTGCCGACTGTCCTTTGTGACAAAGCCCACCCATCTGGCAGCTCAAATGAAATCAAACTCCGAGCTTTTATGCGAAACAAAATCATAAACTATAATGTGGATTTCACCTTGATGATTTACTTACAGTTTTTTGATGAATGCAATAGCTTTTGACTGAACTACAACTCCGATATTTATAATAGCCCTCTTCCTAATCTTTTCAACGATTAATTCAAAGCATTTTAACTCTAAAATATGAATGATATTTCTAAAGAAAAGTGGAGAAATTCTGCTTTTTTTTTTTTTTTACAGTCTCTGGATGTGTTGTCCCTGAGCCAGACACTGCTCACTCACACTGTCACCTTGAATAAGACCACCTACATTTTAAGTGAAAAAACGTCCTTTTCTTTAAGTAGAAATGCAATTTCCGTAAGTGGTTTTGAAGAGCTGAATCCAGGTCATTGAGTCAAGGCGAGATCCTTCCCTCCTCTATACCTGTATTTGATCGAAACACAATGCAGCCTTTCAGCCGAATCATAAACAGGGTTCCCGCGGAGTCTTAAAAAGTCTTAAAAAGTCTTAAATTTGATCATCTGAATTTAAGGCCTTAAAAAGGTCTTAAATATGCCAAAAAAATAAGAAAGGTCTTAAATATGATTTAGAAGGTCTTAAAAATGATGGGATTTGAAAGGTACTTCTGTGTTGCGATCGCGTCTAAAATGTGTTTTGGGGGAAATGTCCGGGCTGCAAAGTAACGGTAATAGCCTTTCAGTTCCCCCCAACAATTTGTATTGAAATAAATCAACATGGAACCAGTAATCACTAACTTTGTTTCCCCCGGCCCCTTAACGGAGAACACCCAGCTAGTAACCTAGCAACCAAGCTTCAGCTAGCGGCAGTCAGAAACTCATGTCTCTTCGAATCTACTTACAAATAAATATGGGGAAGTGTAAGTTCTACCGTATTTGGTTGGAAAACATCGAATTTAGTGCTTGGTTGAAACCAGTGGAGGGGAACGTGTTTGAAGCCTGCTGCACCCTTTGCAAAAGAAATTAGCGTTTGTTTGGCTAATGTAGCGTTAGCTAGTGCAGCGTTAGCTAGTGCAGCAGCTCCCGCAACAACACCGTTGGACCTCCGGGCGACGTTTGGGTCTACGTCAACCCTAAAAGCGGAGGTGCTGTAGTGCAGGGGTAGGCAAGTAAGTTTGGCCGTGGGCCAATTTTTTGCTGAGCCACAAGATGGCGGGCCAGAACATAATCAAAGCCTAATTCAAGGAATTGATTTTGGTAAGAGGGCGCAGCGCCCCTGTTCCCCGGTTCAGAAAAAACTCTGATATCGCTGATAACCCTCCCCATCAACACTCTGATGCGCAGTCAGATCCGCTGATTGGTTCACTGATGATATAGGCGCCCAATCCAGAGCCTCTGGATAGACCCGCCCAAAGGGAGGCTCGTCGTCTCTAGCCCCATTTCAGTCCCATGTTAAAAGTCAGGGCTATTATCTGTATTTTAACAGACTTATCTTTTAAATTGAGGTGCATTTATTGTTCTCTTCAAAGTTTATTTGTTTCTGAAATTTTAGGGAGGATGGTCCTCCCTTTCCTCAATGGACGAGCCTCCACTGAGTGAGTTATTAACTAGGTAGCAGTGTTATTTAACATACTTTTATTCTGATAAGTATTGTCAAGTTCTCTGGGTTTTTGGCATTTATTTGAGTGTTTGCCCACATTTGAGAGGCTTGAAGGGCAACAGAGGACGCATGGACAACTGGAATCCTTCTTTATTTTATTCTTTATCTTCTTTATTTCAACTTTTCAAGGACACATTAGGATTCTTTCAGGTTGAAAACCTTTAAAAAATACAAAATAAATAAATTACAGCATGTTTTGCTTTGCAATTTATTTAATATATTATAACCTAAATTAATCAGTAACCAAGTATTTTACTCAGCTCAATGTATTTAATAGTTAAAGGGGACCTATCATGCAAAATGCACTTTTGTACGTCTTTTCTACATGAATATGTGTCCCCGGTGTTCCAGGGAACTCACCAAGTGTCAGAAAACACAACCCTCTCTATTTTCCTCCATACCCAAATCTCTAAAAAAGGGGCTGCAACGGATCTGATAAAAACTGATCCAGATTTGAACACTGTCCTGACGTCAGGACGGTGGCGCTACGGCTATTGGGCCAACTCTCCACCTATCAGGGGAATGTGGGGTTGGGCCACGGCCGGCCATTGCCGCTCGAAAGCGCTGGAGACGCTGTAGTACATATGCCAGGCCTGTAAGTGGCGCTGTAGTCTGCCACAAAAGCAGCGAAGAAGACTTCCCGCGCATGGTTGCCATGGTTACCCTTCTGTTTATTCTCCGCTGTGGCTTTTGTTCTCTCTCCCCGAGGCAAGCACTGTAATTCTCTCCGGTTAGTCCACCAGCAGATGACAAACACCCACCTCTCCGCCTCTTCCAAGGAACGACCGTGCGGCAGAGTTTCAGTTAGGTTTTCTTTCGCCGGTCAAGATGTCCGTTAAAGTTTAAATCTTCCGGACAAAATTAGAAAAGTGCCGGTCAAAGGTCTTCTTTGTTATTTATTGAGCTTTAAAACAAATGAATAACGACTCTATATAATAAAATAAGAATAAAACACGGAGGACGGAGATCTCTTTTTCTCCCCCTCTTCTGACTTGATCAGAGCACGCTCCCCTCTCCTGCAGGGGGGCGTGGTCAGCTGCAGCTCACAGAATCAGCCCCCTGCAAAAACAGGGCTGGAGAACAGCAAATAGAGTGAAATGAGGCATGGCTAAAATGCATGATCTGTTTGGTATTTTGAAAACAGAAACGTATAAATACACCTTATATAGGTATGGCCCTACAATATATCATTTAAATATAGCATGATAGGTGTCCTTTAAATAAGTACTTTAATTGACGTCAGTTCACCCCGCTGCCTGATTGTGCCTGTGCTGTATGTCATTCATTCTCAACATAGATAAAAGTACAATAAGCATTCTTCAGGTGTAGGTAGATTCTCTATTCGGACATTATAGCCTATATGTGCGACTGTCGGTCCGAAAAAAAAAATCTCAAAATATTTTTTTATTTTTTATTCTCAAAATTACGGGCCAAATATTATTGCTGGCGGGCCAACAATGGCCCGCGGGCCGCCTGTTGCCGACCCATGCTGTAGTGTATACGCTAAATACCGTAGTTAAACACCAATCATACAACAGCAACGATGAAAGATTGCAGCCAAGGCAGCAGAGCTCTGAATATAGCTCTTGTTACTCACTCTCTCTCTCACACACACACACACACACACACACACACACACACACACACACACACACACACACACACACACACACACACACAGGCTGCTCGATTATGGCAAAAATCATAATCACGATTATTTTGGTCAATAATTGATATCACGATTAATAAATACGATTATTCATTGACTTTGAAAACATCCATTTATTGAACTTTAAAACAAATAATAATTTGAACAGTATCTTTTTAACTGTTGATTACCCTGAACGTATAATTCAACTGAAAAACCAATAAAAAAATTAATTAAATAAATGATATATTTAAATAAATAATATCAAAATAATAAATACCAATAAACAAGATCAACAAATATTTTGGAGCGCACTTCAACAAGCTACTAAACATATGTAAATATGATAAATACAAATAAATTAGACTAAAATTAATTAGATCAAATATGTCGTAGTGCACTGTCACAACCTAGCAAAGCTAAATAATAGTTTTTTTCGATTATGTTGTTTTTGTAATTGTGGCAGGCCAAAATCGTAATTGCGATTAAAATACGATTAATTGCACAGCCCTAACACACACACAAGCACACACAGAGACACATACACACTTTTTGGCTAACACAGTTCTGTACTGTTATGCTGTTATGTTCAGTCATTGTTCTTATGTTGAACATGAATACATTTGATTTGTAAGTAATTATGGGACGTATTTCTTCTTTCATAGCAATTTTCCTTCATACTTTCTTGCCGTGAAATAGGTCTTAAATTCTATTCGAAGTGGTCTTAAAAAGGTCTTAAAAAGTCTTAAATTTGAGTTGGCGAAACCTGCAGGAACCCTGATAAAAGAGACACAAATATCTCTTCCTCACAGAATAAAGGAACTGTTTTTGTTCTAAGTATTGTTGGGGAAATACTGAATTTACTCTTCCAATATTATGTTAGAAAACTCACTGGTCACCGGGTTGAGCTTCAATCTCAGGATCCATGTATCTCTGATCCTCTCCAGAATGGAAGTAGTCATCACATACAGAGCATCAACTAGTTCCTGAACAGTGTCCTTCACATGCTGATATCCAAGAGAGGGAGTTACACAGTCACAAGATGGAGGAATACCGGTTCTTCTAAGTAATCATACATCCTGTCATGAACAAAATACTGAGTTTTTTCTCAAAATGTTGGTTTTTGACTATTTCTCAAAATTCTGACTTTTTCTCAAAATCTCAAAATTCTGACTTTTTTCTCAAAATCTCAAAATTCTGACTTTTTTCTCAAAATCTCAAAATTCTGTATTTTTTCCTCAAAATTCTGACTTTTTTTTTCAAAATTCTGACTTTTTATCAAAATCACAAAATTCTGACTTTTTATCAAAATCACAAAATTCTGACTTTTTATCAAAATCACAAAATTCTGACTTTTTATCAAAATCTCTAAATTCTGACTTTTTACTCAAAATCTCTAAATTCTGACTTTTTTCCCCAAAATCTCAAAAAAGTAGTCATCACACACAGAGCATCAACTAGTTCCTGAACAGTGTCCTTCACATGCTGATATCCAAGAGAGGGAGTTACACAGTCACAAGATGGAGGAATAGAAAGCAGTATTCAATGTTTACTTCAGATTAGCTCCACGTCAGAAATGAGCATGCTTGTCATATGTCTATCTCAGTGGCGAGCCGTGAGCTTTATACCTAGGCCCTCTGACCCCCACCCCTTCCCTCGAAAAAAAGAAAAAAAAATAGTTATTACGTCACAGCGTATACTTCAGCGGAATATCAAAACAACGGCCCAGGGTGCAAAACGCATCAATGACAGCGACCCTCTACCACACAAAACAACACCTGTGAACCCAATTTGTGTTCTTTGACATTGAAAATGATATTGCATTGTGTTTGTTACTTTCGTTGCAGTTGTATGTCTTAAGTGTAATTTGGCATGCTTTTATTTTGAAGGCGAGTTCACGCTGTTGACAGGAAGTTGTTGTTGCTATGGAAACAAGAACAGTTTCACAGCGGGCGGAACTTGTCATCTAGTCCGCGATAATAAAACCCACCCATTTAGAGGGAAGATATGATTGGTCAATTGTACTGTCATTTGACATTACTCTCTCGTTCAGTTACTATAGCGGGCCCTCTGTGAATCGCAGAGGGCCCGCTCTAGTAACTGACATTCAAACAGAGACTGAACAGGCAGATTCGAAGGATTTATTTCTTTGGAAATGTTATTTTATTAAATCAAGTTTTTTTTTCGGTAAAACTAATGAAAAATATAACAAAAATAATATTAAAAAAATATATATTTAAAAAAAATATATTTTTTTTTAATGTTTTTAAATATTATTTTTTTGAATATCTTAGGCCCTCACAGAGGGCCTAGAGGGCCCTGACGGCTCGCCACTGGTCTATCTCCATAGAGGCTGAATCATCATGTTAATCACATAGCTATCATATGCCTCAAACAGTCCTGATGCTCTTCTAGGTAATCACACATCCTGTCATGTTCACAGCTACAGTTGGGATACCTTTGTTATCAGGTGTACTCTCATATTGGAAGAGGACATTCAGGATTTTCCCAACAAGTTTTAAAGCAGATTATTTTTGTTTCCCCGCCCACAGGTGCCAGGAGGAGTTCCAGTTGCGCTCCAGCCAGACGTACATGCGCTCTCGTGTGCTGGAGGCGGAAAAGGGCGTCTGTCAGCACTGCGGCCTCCAAGCACACGAGTTGTTCCTCAAAGTACGGGACGCCCCGCCCGACCAGCGCAAGGAAATGCTGGAGAGCACTTGGCTCGCGCAGATGTCACTCAAACAGGTGGAGGAATTGCTATTTTATTACAGATATTTCAAAGGAATCCATGTTTGTTTTCTGCAGTTCATTAGTAGTGCTTACTAAGCAAGTAAAAGCCTCGTTAGAGCTGAGTACAAATGGATTAGTATCAAAATACACTTGAAGAATGGACGTTTGCAGACCCTTTACATCAGAGGTCACCAAGGGCCAAAATTAATCCAAGAGACACTTTCGGGGGCCAGAGATTTTTATATATATATATATTTATATATAAATCATAATAAATTATATATATATAATTCATTAATATGTTCTAATCTTTTTTTTAATAAGCCTGTATCCGGGGTAATAAAACTGAAAGCAGTCCTGATTGGCAGGGAAAGGAATCAACTTTTTTATTAATACTGTGTCCTGATTGGTGGGAAACGGTTGTTCCTGTGTTTAGCTCATACTTGCCAACACTCCCGATTTCATAGCCCTCTCCCGGTTTCCTCCCGGGGTCATGTTTCTCCCACACTTCTCCCGATTTCTGACAAAATCAGATTTACTCACGACTGTTTCCACTCGGATTTTAATACAGCGACACCATTGTTTAGTTTCCATGGTAGCGCGTCTCTTTAGTAGCGCGTGCAACTGAAAGTCTGAGAGGGTGAGGAAGATAGTCACAGAAAACAGAACAAGAATCCACAACTCGACCCTCTGCTCACTCCTTTCCTGTATAGTACAGGTCCAGCCCACACACATGCTCCATCATCAAGGATGGTGCTACAGGCCGCAAGGCAGTGCACTTAGATTAACATTAACATGCTTATTGTAGTTCTAACAGCTCCGGCGATCCACCCCGCGGTGGTTTTGAAATGCTCCCGATTTCTGAGGTCTCAAGGTTGGCAAGTATGTTAGCTGCACTTGTAAAAGTAGCCTTTAAGTCAACAATATAGTATATAGTAAAAACTCCCCCTCTATAGCCAAATATGGAAACAAAATAACATCTTATAAACATAAGGTTGACTTTGCAATACCTTGACAAAGTGGATTTGGTTGCCATCCATCTCGGGTGCATGTGGCCCTGTCAGCGTCATCTTTCCTCCTGTAGCCTGTCTCACACCAGTAACGTGTCGTCTCACCCGATTTGAATGTTTGCTGTTAAGTAATCGAGACATGATTGATAACCATCATCACAGTTTATGAAATATAAAACTATTAAAACAGCAATCATACCTTGGCATATCGGCCTGATAGTCCACTGTGCGTCCTCTCTGCATGTAGTTACTACTGAGGCCTGTTGACGGTTAGAAATCCAGTACTTGTCTCCACAATTTACTGTCACTTCGTCACCAGGTGTTTCTATAAGCAGGTTCACAGCTGGTTCCTTTCAGCACTGGCAGTTGTAGTTTACAATGTATTGCTGTATTTGTTGAAAAATAAACATATTATTAATAAATAATAGGATCCAGGAATAGCTGTACTTTTGTATTTACTCAAATCGAGTCTGTCTACACAGTGGAAAGTACAAACAATTCAATGAAACTGTCTCTGGAACACGAGTACCTCCCCCTTACAACACACACACACACACACACACACACACACACACACACACACACACACACACAGGTTGAACTGCCCTCCAAGGGGCCAGCTCCCAGTAAATGGATTGCTGGGCACATTGATTTTTTTTTCTCCCAGTGCCAGACCTCGACCAGTAAGCCTGTTTGATTTGGTTGGCTGTTATCCTGCAAAGCCAGCCCCCCCCTCCTCCTTACACACACACACACACACACACACACACACACACTTCCCAGTGCCGGCGGCAGCATCAGCGCCGATCGATGCAAGCTTTAGAGGAAACAAACTCAGCCAAATGATAAGACGGCGTAGCGTTGGAGGAGCCTCGAGATTATAGGCTCATTCTTTTGGTTCATACTGGGGGTTTGTGTGTGTGTGTGTGTGTGTGTGTGTGTGTGTGTGTGTGTGTGTGTGTGTGTGTGTGTGTGTGTGTGTGTGTGTGTGTGTGTGTGTGTGTGTGTGTTGTGTGTGTGTGTGTGTGTGTGTGTGTGTGTGTGTGTGTGTGTGTGTGTGTGTGTGTGTGTGTGTGTGTGTGTGTGTGTGTGTGTGTGTGTGTGTGTGTGTACCTTAGGGTGTCTTTCAGTGTGTGTGTGTACCTTAGGGTGTCTTTCAGTGTGTGTGTGTGTGTGTGTGTGCGCGCGTGTGCGCGCGTGTGTGTGTGGGGGTATTCATGTGTACCTTAGGGTGTCTTTCAGTGTGTGTGTGTACCTTAGGGTGTCTTTCAGTGTGTGTGTGTGTGTGTGTGTGTGTGTGTGTGTGTGCGCGTGTGTGTGTGGGGGTATTCATGTGTACCTTAGGGTGTCTTTCAGTGTGTGTGTGTGTGTGTATGTCTGAGACTGTGTGTATGTCTGAGACTGTGTGTGTGTGTGTGTGTGTGTGTGTGTGTGTGTGTGTGTGTGTGTGTGTGTGTGTGTGTGTGTGTGTGTGTGTGTGTGTGTGTGTGTGTGTGTGTGTGTGTGTGTGTGTGTGTGTGTGTGTGTGTGTGTGTGTGTGTGTGTGTGTGTGTGTGTGTGTGTGTGTGTGTGTGTGTGTGTGTGTGTGTGTGTGTGTGGGGGGGGGTATTCATGTGTACCTTAGGGTGTCTTTCAGTGTGTGCTAGGATGTGTATAACAGAATTCAGCCATGTGTGTATTGGTATTTTGGTGTGTGTGCATTTGCTGTATTTATTGTGGCCTTTAGGTGCCTGTCAGCAGAATCTAGTTGTGTGTAGTAGAGCAGCGAGGTGCATGGTTTTGGCACAAAAGCAGGTTCAATTGAATGGAGACTTTGTGCTTGAGTGTGTGTTAGAGACGTGAACTCGCCCCTGTGAGAGGGCCTGTTCTTTAAATCTGTTGGGATCAATTCCAGCTCGCTGCCTTAATGTCGGCAGAGTAGCACTCAAAGCACCAAAATGGATTTTTCGCCCTCAACTCTTCCCACCAGGCTTCTCTCCTCCTCTGTTTCTAATTCTCTCAATCATCTTTCCTCTTGCCTACTCTCTATTCTCTCTTCTAGTCTGTGTTCATTATTATACTATGTCTGTCTTTCCCTATTATCTCTGTTTCTTTTCAGGATACAAAAGACACACCAACAAGTTAAATACTTCAATTTCCAGGTCGATTAGTTCCCAGGGTTCAATGATTTAGTCCTGTAAAGACACGATCCAGGTCCTAAGAAGGTCTTGAGCCTAAAATAAAGTTAGAAATGATTGCTTTATTTAGATATTCTAGGTTTCTTTTGGTCTACATCTGATCGGGGATCCATAACATACGGTCAGAGTTCACCGTCATTGCTTCGGTGCACTATTAGCTTTTATCAAAACGTATTTTCTTCACAATCATACAGCATTTTTATCCGAGGTCTTATTATTTCCTGTTGTGGATTCCTGTATACACCTTGCTGTCATGTTCACTCCTTGAGGCTTATTTGTTTTTATCACCTCATGTTGGAGCGCACTGCGGTGCAAGACATTTGTTTAATATTTTCTGTCTGTTTGTGGATGAGAGCAGGTGCTGTAAAATAACAATTTAGGTCACTTTTTTAAAGATTAGATTCAACGTTATTACCGTATTGTCGACAACAAACTGTAGTTTAATTTCTAACTAGAGTATATTTTCTGATGTATAAGGAATAACTAGTCAAACATTATAAGCCGTTAACATTAAAGCGTGGAAACATGTCACAGTAGAGGCACAAAATACAAATATAAAACCTTCAAATTAGATTAATAGGGCCACTTTAATATGTGAATCATATCTCACCCGCATATCAGTCAAAAAATGATAGCAACTAGTCATTTTTCTCCAAATTTTGCAACCATAGACATTGATATAAATCCCCAAAAATGTAGTACAGGTAAATGAATAGTGTGCAGGTCAAGACATCACATCAGTTAAAAAAAAAAAAGGAACTTTAGTATAGATAAAAGGTCTGGGAGGGCAGGGCAATCACACACCGTTGTTGTCTCTTCAGTACAGTATGAGGAAAACCTCGAAGGAGTGTGTGTACCGAGGCGCTCACTGTTCAACTGTGTGTGTGTGTGTGTGTGTGTGTTTGCAGCTGAACGTGATGATCCGCGCCCCGGTCGAAGGGGATTTCTGGCAGGTGGACCACATCCGGCCGGTGTACAGCGGAGGAGGGCAGTGCTCTCTGGAAAACCTGCAGACTCTTTGCACCGTCTGCCACAAAGCGGTACATGCACCCTCTGCATCGCTGCACCCATAACACCCGCTTTCAGAGCCACGAGGCTTAAAGGGGCAAAAGCAATTTGTCTAACATTTAAGGTGCACAAGGAGGATGGACCTCTCCTTTATCCCCGTGAAGAAAGCAAAGCCTCATCACTCATGTTGAGGATCATGTGTGATGGCAGTAATGTGATACATGGTCAAACACATTGATCAAAAGTCATACCATCATTCACAAAGCTATATATTGCCAGTAATAACATCACATGATGTGCCTGTGTGACATATTGATATATAGCATTTGTTGCCCTCAGGAACATCGTCCTCCTTGAGCTTTTCCAGTCGATATTTCATAATCACAGACAATCCACCTCTTAAAAAACAGAAGTGATTGGTTTCAGAATAAGAAAAAGCTCTCATTGTAACCTCAAATGTGCTTTACTTTCACGCCAGCATGCATTTCTGTCAGAGTGGGTGTCAGGTTGGAAGGAAGCGCTTCACATGTTGACGCGTAAACTGATGTGGAGAGCTGCTCGTACCGATAAGAAGAGCCTCTCGCTGTTGATGCCACCACTCAGACACTTTAATCTAGAGATGCTCGATATATTGATCGCACTTTTCTCTTCAGATTTAACCTCTTACATCATGTTTCATTTTTCCCCCCTCCACAGAGGACGGCTCAGCAAGCCAAAGAGCGGAGCCAGAAGAAAAAGAGCGTTGCCGCGTCCAAGGTTGCATCAGACATCAGCAGGTTCTTCTTCAGGAAATGAGATGAAGCTTTAGTGAGGGCTTGTATCAAATGTATTGAATCACATTGAATCCTAGCTGGCATGCATTTCTGACAGCGAGGATGGAGGATGCATCATGATCTTTCAAAGGCAACATTCACATTTAAGTATTGGAAACGCCATTCACTGACAGATTAGAATAGAAAAGCCGGATTTTCCTTCAAATTCATGCTTCAATTTCTGATGAAATGCTGCACCTGTGGAGATTTACTTGCATTTACTGCATTAAATGCTAATTCAGCTCCGCTCTCGTCCCCGAAACGTCACCCGTGCGCTACTTTCTGATTTATTACGGCCCAGTTTTACTCGAGGCTGAAATGGAGCAGGTTGTTTAGAGAGATGCAGCTATTTTAAGATTGTGCAAACTTAGTGAAAAGTAGCAGGTGACAAAAAAAAAAATGGGGGCTTTGTGATTTAAACTAGAAAAACACAACGTCCTCATTGGCGCCCTCAACATGTGGCGCCTCTTCCTTTTTGGAAGATGGATGAACGCTCCCTGGTGAAATAAAAAGTCTATTTCCATCTTGTTTAATGTCTTCTTCTTGCTCTGTTCCTCCGGTGCTTTTTAAAACGGTTTTAACCACAAGCTAGGAAATCGTTTTATCGCCTCGAGTCAGGAACATTATTGCCCATGTCCACGCATCTCCCTCCTCTTCAGCTGTGCTTGATGATCTGAACAGTGCTAAAGTCAGTCAGGAGGGCTATGTTTAGAGAGATGGAGAGCAGAGTTACTATGGCAACAAGGCTTCAGGTTCAGCGATGTCGGGAATATTGAATCTCTCCTTGTGTGAGAGTTATACAATGAGCCAGACAGACATCAGAAACTCCAATCAATATCAGCAGGCTGCTGTGAAAACGAGGCGGTCACATTCCTCCGCAGCACAACACAGCACTTCGCGGATGTCGTCATGTCGCGATTTGTCCGTCTGTCAGCCGTGTCAAACCCCAAACTCAGCAAATTCGGGAAAGTTTGAAAATGTTCTGGCAGCCCAAACTTCTCTCAGCCTATCGGAGCGCCGCGTTTAAGCCACAGCTTGAAACTTGTGTGTGTGTGTGTGTGTGTGTGTGTGTGTGTGTGTGTGTGTGTGTGTGTGTGTGTGTGTGTGTGTGTGTGTGTGTGTGTGTGTGTGTGTGTGTGTGTGTGTGTGTGTGTGTGTGTGTGTGTGTGTGTGTGTGTGTGTGTGTGTGTGTGTGTGTGTGTGTGTGTGTGTGTGTGTGTGTGTGTGTGTGTGTGTGTGTGTGTGTTTCCCCTACGGCGGCTCCAGGTCTCCACTTAATAAGACCGTTGTTCCTCTCCTGTCCAAACAGACAAGCTTTGTGAGTAATGAACATCTCCCAGGCAGCTTTCCAACAACAGCAGGTTTCAGTGTCAGTCCCTCTCAGCAGCCAATGACTCTGATCTGCTGTTTTATTACACCCAAAAGGTGTGTGTGTGCATGTGTAGGGAAAGTAGTGTGTGTGTGTGTTTGTCAGATGGAGCCATAATGAGCCAGAGCGGCCAGATGAAGACGTCTCATGTTCTTCCCAGAGGGGCTGCTGGGTAAAGAGCAGCGCTGCAGCCGCGTGACACTGTTTGCGTTAGACAACCTATCAGCCCAGAGGAAAAACATTACCTCCGCAGGTGATGACGGTAATAAAGATGGACTCAAACACAGGCGGACGACCGTTGAGGTTTGCGTGTTTGCTCTCCGTCCAACACACCCCTGCGCTCCCATCTTTTAAAGCATCAGAGCAAAAACTCACTTTCTCCATCAAGTTCAATCACCGTCTTGCCACTATTTCTCTTATGTACATTGCCTTGTACACAAACATTTCCCAAATTGGCATCAATAAAGTATCTGTCTGTCTGTCTGTCTGTCTGTCTGTCTGTGTCTATGTCTGTCTGTCTATGTCTGTCTGTCTGTCTGTCTGTGTGTCTGTCTGTCTGTCTGTCTGTCTGTCTGTCTGTCTGTCTGTCTGTCTGTCTGTCTGTCTGTCTGTCTGTCTGTCTGTCTGTCTGTCTGTCTGTCTCTGTCTCTGTCTCTGTGTGTCTGTCTGTCTGTCTGTCTGTCTGTCTGTCTGTCTGTCTGTCTGTCTGTCTGTCTGTCTGTCTGTCTGTCTGTCTGTCTGTCTGTCTGTCTGTCTGTCTGTCTGTCTGTCTGTCTGTCTGTCTGTCTGTCTGTCTGTCTCTGTCTCTGTCTCTGTCTCTGTGTCTGTCTGTCTGTCTGTCTGTCTGTCTGTCTATACTGTGGAGACCTTTCAACACGTTACATAGCAACACAGTAACCTCTGAACCTCACATGGCTAAAATCGTCGCGGAGCAAATGTCTAGCGGAAATAATGACATGTAGTTAGAAAATCAGAAAGTAGCAGCGGATAAAAGACAATAGGAAAAGCCATCTGAAGAAAATCTGAAGCTTAAAACACTTAATTCGTCGTCTTTGAGTAACATTTGTAAAAACTAGATCTTAAAACTATGTTGTTCAAACATTAAATGTACAATTTTAATATGTTCTCATATTGTTGGTTTCAGTCCATACACAGACATAAAAAAAATAACAAAATGACCATTCGCAGTTTAATGTATTTCTGATTAAATGAATGCTAACGTGAGTTGCCACAGCGTTTCTCAATGTGGGTCAGAGGCCCTCCAGGGGCCCTGTTCGGGGCACCTTGGGGTCTACAGCAAATTGAGAAATAGATTAATATCCCTCAAACTCCAATTCCATAGGAGTTTCTCTAATTACCTTCATTACACTATGTGCAATAATAATTTTTGTAATTGTACTTTTTCGTTTCATTATTCCCCTCCCTATAGGATGTGGGGAGAAACTGTGTCTTTTTAGGACTCTCTGACATGAAAGTGTCTGAGAAGCTCTTCCAACTTGACAGTGAAGCATACAAATCATTCATAATTCAATCATGATTTGCATTCAGACAGCAAGGCGTTATATTTGGCGCCATTCCATTGGTTATTCCATTTCAGCCTCGCCTGCCCCCATAATCTACTTTGGCCTTTTCAGCTGAAGGAAGCGCTTCTACAAACCCAATCTTGTGTGACAGGTGTGATGGAGAAGGGCCAATAAAAGCCTGCACAGCGCTCTGCGTGCGGCCGCCGGCTCTCCAATCCGAGCCTGAATCCTGCTGTGGTTTGATTCCTGGCTGCCATAGTCTCCACTGTGATCCCTCTGTGTCTCTGACCCTCCCTGCCCTTCAGCGAGGGAAAGGAAACAGACACTCGGGAGGTCGGACCCCCGCTGCTCTCCCTTCAGGAGTGAAAAACAGCCCGAGCACCTCTGATATTCTGTCATTTGGTGGAATGTGCACTGCAAAACCTCATTATAGAAAAGAAATGGACCTGCAGTCAGACCTCTGCGGCGTCGTGTTAAAACATCCAGAGAGCGTGTATTCTAAAAGGCTGCACCCGTCTAATTGAAGTCGCGAGTCGGCGCTTAGGAAGCAATTCTTGGCTTTAAACAGCCACAGCCGACGAGAGGCTTTTGTCTTTATTGTCATATTATCTCTTGGGATGGTGATGAGATGATTAATCATTTCCTGCTGCAGAAACTGCTCGCAAGAAAGCTGGCACGGCTCGGCAGAGCGCGACGCCCTGGGTGGAGGAAAAACGGTATTATGGCCCAGGTAATTGGTGGAGGACCATCACTCATAAGCGATCTAATTAATGTCATTAAAACACCCTCTCTGGTTGCGCAGAGACACTTTCAAAATGGGCTTATCCATCCTGATGAGTGTCATGCACGCAAATGATATTCGGGGAGAAACTGCGGCAGAAGCGAGTAACAGAAAAATCGACGGTGCAATGTAAACAGTGGCCGGCTATTTCCTAATGTCATTCAGCCTGGTAGGGGGGTGCAGCGGTGAAAGGATGCTTTGTCATTGCTCAGCTGGAGGTGGCTTTTGTCAAGTCCAAATTCTATTTATTCAAGATGGCTCCCTGGTCGTCTCCCAACATGCATGGCACGCTGCGGATTAGGACCAAAAACGCAATCAATTCACCCAGCAGGAGATCAGGGGAAATAACAGATAAGGTTCTTCGCATAATTCATACAGTCCCCAATCTGGCTAGGATTAATGTATGTCTTTGCTGCAGCTCGCTCTCATTTGTATGTTGGAGCTTGTGTGGGGCTAAATTGGCTCTTCATGTGGCCCATTACAATCAGGCTTTGTTTGGAAAGGCCCCTGTGAGGACTGGATCTGACCACATCGTTTTACACGTGTAGCTAATGCTATTTAGATCTGATGTAATCGCATCTATATTTAATTACTATTAAGATCCTGGTTTAACAGCAGGCTTCGTCAGCATATTCATGGCTGTAAAAACCAAAAAATGCCCTGTATTGAATATAAAAAAATGTCTCAAAAGCCAAACATGTATGCAGCTTTGGCTAAATATACATTAAAATGTCACAAAGGAGTCCTGGTGGCACTTAGCATCAGAAGAAGAAAGCCACAGTGGGCTACGGTGTTACCGCTCACCCCTTTCATGTGCGCTGTGTTCAGATGATTGAGGTTAAAAATTGAAGGCTGGACAAAATGCCCTCCAACGAGTTTCCTTTTCATGAGCCTTTAAAGACATCTTTTCATCTCCCATTTTATTTTGCCGCCATTGATCAGCCATCTCTCATAGATTGCTTCCAGACATCTATTCAGCCGCGCTGTCGCTGCTCAGCATGCTTTTATTTCAAAGGTCTTAATGGCAAGGTCTGGCTTTTGTGCTTAGATTAAAAACCTGAATCAGAGTCGTTTTTATCGCCTATACATTCACAGGAAGTAGTCTTTGTTGACTTATGTTAAATGTGAAGCAACAGCTTAAAAGGTTTGCATGCTGAGGCAAATTTAGGGGGGAAATAAGATCTCTTTCTTGCCTCATGTTGTGTTTCTTTTCCCGAACATGAGCCGGAAAAAGGTCATGTCAGTCTTGTGAGGAGAGTGACAGGTCTGGGGCATCATTACTGAGACTTGGAAGGTCTGAGTTAGCACCTTTGGTCACCTCAGGAGAATAGATCCCTACTGCGCTGCCGCCGGACTAATGAGCACCGACAGCCCTGCGTCTAATGAGAAGACGGCTGTTGCGAATGTCTTCCATCAGCCCTATGCTTCGTCGCTAAAACATCCCATAATGCCTTGAACATGCGGTGTTAGCAACTGTGGATATCTTGTCGCACATCAATACCGGGGCCATGGAGTCAGCGGAGGACTCTGCCAAAATGTCGTGAGCTGAAAACATTGTGTTGAGCTTCCTTTTTAAAGTTTTGCCGTTAATAAGAAGAGATAAATGGAGGCATTTCATTGCCGCCTGGTCTCTATGTGGTCCCTTGTTTCCAGCTGGCAAAGCATGTTGGATTCCACTAAAGCAATCTGTTTTTAGTTCCTACTCAAACATTTTGTCAATTCTTGGCATGTCTGACTCCTGATAACTTACTTCTTTGCACAGTCTCTTTGCATTTCACATTAGATAAATGCTTTATGGATGCCAGAAGGGAATCTGCGTACATCTAAAGGTCCTTACACACCAAGCCGAT